CTTCGGCCAGGTGGGTTTTGTGGTGGTTTTTCTTGTTGTTTTTTTGTTTTTTTAAAAGACATGTACAGCTCCAGCCCGTGCGGTCCCAAGAGTGCTGTGGGCTCAGCCCATGGAGGAGAGGCGGAGGAGAAGGGCAGCGCTGCTCAACAGCAAATGCCCTCGGCCCTGCGGGAGGGGAGGGGGCGGCCAGGAGCCCACCCCGAGGGGGAGACATTCGGCGCCCCGTCCCCAGGGAGCCGCGCCACCGCTCTGGAGAGGACAAACCTTGGCTGCAGCTTCCAGCCAGCCATGCAAGGGCCCCCAGGGAAACCTGTGATTGTACACGGAAAGGCCGAGAGACCCCCCCAGCCCCAGCCCTGGAGAGCACGGAGACCCACAGGACGGGGCGCAGCGGCACCCAGGCATTAGATGCTGGTGAGATGATGGCTGGGAGCAAAGCTGCTTCCTCCAGCTGCGCCAGGAGCCATCCCTGGGGGCCGGGAACCTCTCCTCACATCACCTCTCCCTCCCAGAGCCAGCCCGAGTCCAAAGGGAAGGAGAAGTAGCAGCAAGAGAGACGTTAAGGACCGGGCCAGTGCCAGGCAGGCTCCATGGCAAAGCTGCTTGGACGCCGTCTGTAAACGGCAGCACTTTGGGGCTCTGAGGGCACAGAGCTGGGCCGAGGGAGGGAGAGACACCTCTGGGACCCCCCGCCGGGCTGAGGAGGAGATTGTAAAAGCAACAAGAGGAAGGAGGAGGAAGGAAGCGATTATCTCATGGAGGGCAGAGCTGCCACAAGCCGAGGGCTGAGGCTGCTGGAGCGCGGGATGAGCCCGCCGGGGAGTGTGCGTGTGCGACAGGGCAGGGGCCGGGGCCCCGTGCGAGGAGGTGCAGGAGCTGCGTGGACGCCATTCTACCGGCCCCGGGGAGACGGGGCAGCCTTTGGCAGTACCGGCCCAGAGCAGAGCCTCTCCTCTGGGCCTTGAGGCATTCGCAGGAGAGTCTCGGGTTCCTGAGCTCTGATTGAAAACCCGTGAGTCGCCTGAGCGGAGGCCAAGAGCAGCCGTGCAGAGGCCAGGCCGAGGGCAGAGGAGGAGCACGGGCTGCTCCGGACCACGGAGGGTGCCCCAGCCCTGCCCTGTGCCTGCACCGCTCCTCCCGCTGCACAGGGGGCACGTCCCACCCCTAATACTGTTACAAAAAAAACCCAAACCCAACAAAAAACCCTCACCCCCGCCGTGCCAGACCCACACACTGCGGTGCCTGAATGGAGAGTCAAGGGGATGGTGACCCCCACAGAAACCGCTCGGAGCAAGAGGAGGAGAGAAAAGGCCACTCGAAGACTCGCCTTAGACAGCTCCAATCTCTGCTCCGAGAGCAGCAGGGAGAGACGGGGCACCCGCAGCCGGAGAGGACACGGTGCGAGGAGACGGGGAGAGGTGGGGGCCGGTGGTGCGGCGGGAGGTGCGGTGGGGTGCCATGGCTTCCATTTGCAGTGGACAGGTCACGAGGGAAAGATCGGCGGCTGCGATCTCGGCGTCCTTCCCCGCGACAGTCTCGATTGGCTCCGCTTAGATCCGGGGCAGCAGCTTCTCAATGAACTCCTTCACTGCCATCATCTCCTGCGGAGAGCGCAGAGCCCGTCACTCCGGGGCTCCTCAAGCGCCGTGCCTTGCCTCAAGCGTGGGGGCACGAGGGCTGCGCAGCCACCCCGGAGTGAATTGGGCAATAAACACATTCTGGACTCAGCAACGTCCCTGCCCTGCCTGACCCACCGTGCCGGGGTCGGTCCCAAAGGCGAGACCAGCCCCTGACAGCCCCATCCCCTCTCTCCGCCCCGAGGCACTGACCTGAGGACAGGAACTGTGCATCACGCCAGGGTAGGTTTTGAACTGGACCTTGGTGGGAGTGACGACAGATTTCAGCTTCTCAGCAGTGAGGGCCCCGAAGCGGACAGGGATCATGGGGTCCATCTCCCCATGGCACTGCAGGATGGCGATGTCCTTGTTCACACCGTTATTCGCTGCCTGCGGTGAGGAAGGAAGCGCTCAGGGGTGCCCAGGAGAGGAGATACCCCATGGGGAATGGGTCAGATGCTTTCTCTGCATCCCCATGCACATCACCTGGCAGCTCCCCTCCTCAGGAGGGACACGGCAGAGCTGCTCACACAGCGTCTGCTGCTCTGCCACCACACACCTCCTCCCACACTGCCACCAGGACAGAGCTGCTGCCCGGCGGGCGTGAGGAGGTGTGGGGAGCAGATCGGCTTGCAGATGCCCACAGCAGATGGGAGGGTAGTCTCCTGATTTCTCCTGTGCCCCAGGAGCAGGGGTGTGGGATTAATCCCCCACCACAGGCACCTCCTGCCTCCAGCAGCCTCAGGCTCACACTGCAGCAGGAAAATCCCCTCCCTGACCCTCCCTGCAGACACGCGGGGCAGAAGCAGCGCAGGGTACCTGCGGGAAGGCTTTGTGCAGCGGGAGGCAGAAGCTGAGCGCCACGATGCCGGCCAGCTGGTGCTGGCAGGTGAGAGCCGTGTACAGCGACAAGGCGCCGCCCTGCAGCAGATGAGGAAGGTCTGTTAGTGCCACGGAGGGATCCGCAGCCCCGGAGCACCCACCAGACCCGGCTCGCCCAGAATGCACCCGCCTCCTCCCCACGGATGCTCCCTTTGAGGGGTGTCTTCAGAGGGGTCCCAGTCTGCTCCACCTCAGCCCCCTGCAGCCCAGCTCACCTGTGAGAAGCCCCCCAGGATGATGCGGTTGGGTGGGATCCCATTCTTCATCTCATGCTCGATAATTGCTTTGACTAAAAGAAGACAGAGAAATGGGTCAGTGAAAGGTGGGGGGGGGCTGAAAAGCAGCACCCAAGGCCTGGGGGTGCACACAGAGCACTCAGCACATCGGGGAGAGGCAGGTGCCAGAGGTCCCAGGGACTGAACACACTTGGCTTCAGCCATGGAGAAGGTGGGCTGGGATCACAGGAGAGCAGAAAGGAAGAAGAGGTGGAAGACAGATATCTGCTCCTGTCCCAGAGAGGGAGAAGCACCCAGGAGCTCAGCACTTCCCCCTCCCCAAAGCCTTACTGTTTTCTGCAGCTTTCTTGATCCCAGCTTCGTCCTCAGGTGCATCTGGAGTCAACCCCATCAGGTCAAACCTGGGAGAAGAAGCAGAGTCAGCCCTAAACCTCTCCCAGCCCACAGGGTGTGGGGAGGTGGGTGTGCTCTGCCCTTGCCCTGACTCCTACAGGGCATTGGATTTTGGGTCTTCAAAGCCCCCCCCCCCCCTTCTTCTCACTCCCCAAATACATCCCCAAAAAGGGTTCCTCCCACCCACCCCTGCCACCCAAAGCACTGACCAGGAGGGCATAACCATCTTCATGTTGAGGGTCACCGGGATCCGGGGCCTGTGGAGAAAACAGTGTTTTAGTTCAAGTGCAAGAGAAGAAAATCTGAGCCAAGGGAAGCAGCGTGACCAGCCCTCCCGTCTGCAGCTGCAGGACACCTCTCCCGAGGGACAGCAGCGGGTGAGTGCCACCAGACCCAGCCTGGGGGCTGCAAGGTGACCCCAGGGATCACCCGCAAGCGCTGAGCAGATCCCGGCTGAGCTGGAGGCTCCAGAGCGTTGCCAAGCACTCCGCCTGGGGAGGAGAGCACCTGCTTCCCTCTCCTGTTTGCCTCTGCCGAGCGAGGAGACGCTGATGGAGCGGCTGCCTCTCCTGCTGAGACGGGACACTGGGAAGCCGAGGCCCTGCTGCCGGGGACGCTGCTGCGGCAGAGCTCTCCCAGCCCGGTGAGTGCCCCCTGCATGTGCTGCTATCGACACTGGGGAAACATCGGGGAGCGTTTCTTTCCCTTTCTGCTGAGCCCACTCCTGCCTGAGCAGGGTGACAGGGAAGCAGCTCCAGTGCTTTTGGCTGTCACTGCAGCCGTCGGGGAGAGGCAGAGGATAGGACAGAGGAGCAAACAGACTCAGAGCAGCAGCTCCCACGCTGATCAGCTCTGTGGGGAACTGCTCTGCCTGCAGGCAGAAAACATCAGGGCTGGGGCCCTGAATTAACTGGCCACAGCAAGAGAGCAAGCCTCACTGCACAGCCCCGTGGGTAGGTCAGGGCACGGGCCACCATCTGCCTCCCCGAACAGTCTCAGCAGCGGGCACCAGCATCAGAGCCCACCCAGGGCCCGTCCCGAAGCAAGGACAGCACTTACGCGTGAGGGCAAATATATTTCACGTAGGGGAGGCGGATGGAGGAGAGAGCGTCAGCCCAGCTGTGCCTGGGGAGAGAGGAGAGGAGAGGAGGGAGTTCAAGGCTTGCTTTAGCGTTTTGGAAGATGCTGGTGAAGCTGAGGGATTTGCCCCAAGGACAGGTTTTCTCCAAGGCTGCTGGCCCCCTGCCCCTACCCTGACATTATTTTACCAGGTCCTACCCACCCCAGCAGCCTGAATCCCAACGTGAATCCCCAGCACAGATCTCCTCTGCGGCAGGGCAAAGGCAGCACACAAAGCCCCGCAGCTGGGAGCAGAGGGGCTGCTATCAGCAAGGGAGGAGAGAGAATCTCCTGTGCAGGGAGAAGCCTTTTGTTACTGCTGTATCTCACGGTGTCCTCTAAGGTAGCCTTGCACATTAGAGACATGCACTCGTGTAGACACAACCCAAATTCCCAGCCCTCCCAAGGACTGGAAAAACCGCAGTGCTTATCTGCTTGCCTTAAAGAAAGCAGAAAATCAAACCCGCAGGGGGCGGGGGGCTGCCAGGCTGCTGGGATCATAAATATTCAAGCTGAATTGCAGACAGCTGCTGGCCGGCGATTCCCTGCGAGGGTGGCGCAGGCACGGCTATCGGACCGAGCTCAAAGCCCCAGACAAATCTCGGAGCTGCCCCTGGGGAGAGCAGCACCAGTGCTGGCAGCGAGCGGCCGGACCCTGGTCTGCATTCAGCAAACCCCGCGTCACAGCCAGAGCCAGCTCCAGGAATACTCACCCCGTGTCTCCAAGGCCATGTAAAAAAATGACCTGTTAAATTAAGCAGAAAAACAAAAGAATTAGCTGGTGCGACAGCCGATGCCCTGGGAGAGAGGCAGGGCTGGGCTCGCAGAGAAGCGGCAAAAGGCCACTTAGTCACTAACTAGAAGAGACTCAAACAGGCAGAAATTAGCTGATGCTAATGACACGTCTCTGCAGCTTTGAGCATGACGTTTGGGTGGAACAGGTACATCATCATGCCACATCATGCTGTCACGGCCAGGTCCGTGAGCGTTGTCGGCCCCTTGGCTGCCCAGCGTAGCAGAGGGCCGGGGAGCGATAGATCGTCCCGCCAGGCTGCACGGCACCACGCTGAGCAGAGGCCGAGCTTGCCAAGGACTCACAAAACTCATCCCTACAGGCTTTTCATCTAAAGCTAGAGCAACTCCTAAGCAACGGGGAGCAGGGGGAAGGCAGCCCCAGGGAAGGACAGAGGATTTTCTTTGGGGGATTTGCTTTTAAAAACCTAAATAGCCAAATCAGATCCAACTCCCACTGACTTCCCTGCAGGTCACGCCTACCTGCGAGGCTGTGCCCGGGCTTCCGCGCTGAACCAAGCACCAGACACAACCAGCCCAGCCCAAAGGACAGCTACTTTTCCCCAGAAAGACGAGACCTTGCTGGTCCTACATCCCCTTTGATGCACCAAGATAATAATCTGAAGAACAGAGCTCATGGTTCCTCTGAACCCCATGGAAGCAGCTCCTTATCTTCAAGACTGCTAAAAGGGAAGAAGCAAGAGAGGCAGGAGGGGTCCGGCTCTTACCGCGGCAGTCTCCCGCTCTGCCCCTGAGACAGTCACTGCGTCAGCGAGGAGGGGGACAGACATGTTGTTACCACACATACACCGAGAGGGACTCAGACACTGGCACCTGCGGGACAGAGGGACAAAGGTAAGGCAGGCAAATAAACCACTCTTCCCCCCGGAACTAATTGCTCCAGAGGGACCACCTATTTGGGGGAAAATTAAAGAGTACATGAAGGCTTTGATGTTTCAGCCCTTGGGACAGCCCTGCTCCGTCCCCGGCCTGGCAACACTGGAGAGCCAGGAAGCAGCAAACGCTTCCCACGTCGCAACACCAGATGCATGCGAGTGGGGATGGGCGCGTGGGGTGTTGGAATTGTTAAAATTAGCTCTTTCTGTTACACCTCAAAGCCAAAGTTATTTCTGTGACTGTAACGACGTGGGCAGAGGGCGGCCGGGCGTCGCGCAGCCTCAGCATCCCTTCCCGGCTGCCAGCGGAGCCGAGGAGGAGCCTGACCCACATCTGCTCCGACGGGGAAGCAGGAAACGCCGGCCCTCAGCACGCAGCAACACAGGCGTTATAGCGCTAATAAAAGGTCCAGCCCTCTTTTATGGAGCTGTTGGGGGATTAACTGCAGCATTCAGGCGCTGCCCTGAGACCCAGCCCTGCGCTGCCTCCCCGAGCCGGTCCCCCCCCAGCGATGGCATCGCTGTCCCTCCCCGATGGGCAGCCAGCCAGGGCCACCACTGCTGTCCCCACCGCAACGGCTTCCTGCCAGCACAAAGGGCTGACGGTCACCTCCTGGATCCTGGTGTCACCTGCGAGGCGGGCGGCTCCGGCAGAGCTAAGGAGCCCCCACAACACCGCCTTCAGACACGACAGTCGATGGTGTTTGTTCCCAGTCCGGCACAAATCACTAAAACTACCGCGCCTCATGTGACAGGCCCTAACCCCCGCTTACTGCCCAGGACTAATTAGATCAGAGCACATTTACAGCGCTTCCATCATCTCCCAGGAGCAAGATCAGCCTCTTGGCTACTGCCAGGAGCCAGACCAGCCCCCGTGGTCTGCTCCAGTCTTCATATCTCACAGTACGCACCATCCCCGGAGGGTTTTGGATGGCATGGGACCACCCGAACTCCCCCCAAACTCCCGGTACCCCGGCAGACAGCCTTACCCGACAGAAACAGCCACCTCCTCCACCAGCCTGGGCCAAGACCTGCCCGACTCGTTTCACCAACTGTTTGTCAGCTGTTTCCCCGACTCAAATAAAAACACCGGGAACAACAAGCTCCCCGGGTCTGGCGAACCTCGCAGACACACAGCCCACGTGCTCGTGTGTACTCCAGGGTCAAAACAACCAGCGAGGAAAAACAACACCTGCCAAAATTCCTGGCAAGAAGAGCCATAAATAAAAGCATCTTCCATGACAGATGGAGACGCTGAAACGTGTTCCCGGAGCAGACAGACTCACGTCTTTGCCTTATTCACAGAGACTTCAGGCAAAGGAGGGGTTTTGAGGGTCAAGGCTGCCCAAAGCACCCCACGGCCACACCTCGGAGAAACCCGAGACCTCTCTGGGGTGTTTCTGCCCCACTCCTGGGGTAGGACAAGGGGGAATGGTTTTACACTGAAAAAGGGGAGGTTTAGACATTAGGAAGACATTCTTTCCCGTGAGGGTGGTGAGCCCCTGGGGCAGGTTGCCCCGAGAAGCTGTGGCTGCCCCATCCCTGGAGGTGTTCAAGGCCAGGTTGGACGGGGCTTGGAGCAACCTGGGCTGGTGGGATGTGTCCCTGCCCAGGGCAGGGGGTGGCACTGGATGAGCTTTAAGGTTCCCTCCAACCCAAACCATTCTATGGGTCTATGATCTACAGGAGGGTCCACAGCTGCTGCCACAAGAACAGCTCGAGGAGAGGCAGCTCTGAGGCCAAAACGTGACAGGGGAAGGATGAAGCCCCAAGATGGGTCTGTGGCCGTGTAACAGCACCCACGCGCCAAAAAAAAAAGGAGACCAATCTGTGCCCGATTTGGGCTGTTTCGGTGGCAGCCCCACAGCTCTCGCGGTCCTCACCCACCAGAGCGATGCCGGGGGTAAACCCGCCACCCGGTCCGTGGGGAGCAAATTGCTAATTATCGTTTAATAAACTGTCCCCAGCCTCTTCC